CCCAGCAGACCAGGGAGACGGGGGTGGCGGGACCGCCCAAGTCCTCCACGGCTTTGCTCCGTCTCCCGGGTCTGCTGACCTGGGAGACGCGGAGGAAAGCCGCAGAGCACGCGAGCAGCGGGACAGTCCAGGCGCGCCGCGGCTGTCCCACTGCGGGCGTGCTCCGAGGCTTTGCTCCCCATCTCCCTGGTCTGCTGGTCGGGAGACGGGGAGCAAAGCCGCGGAGCACACCCGCAGGGGGACAGCTCAAGCACGCCCGGGCTGTCCCACTGCGGGCGTGCTCCAAGGCTTTGCTCCCCATCTCCCTGCAGACCAGGGAGACGGGGAGCAGCTTTTCTTGACCCGGAGGATGGGGGCGGCGGACCGCGGCGCATCTGGGCATCCCGCCGCTCCCATCCTCCGGGGCGAGAAAAGCCCCATTCGTAACTGCAGATCCGACGTAAGTCGGATCCACGTAACTCGGAGACTGCCTGTATTTCAATTTGCTTGGACGAATGTTTTCTCTCTCAAGTATCAACAGTGATCATCTTGAAATTAACTATTTTCATTTGCAAGAGCTGACCTTACTGCTTTCCCCTGGTTTATGTAGGATATTACTCAGTCATAAACTTTCTAGGCAATTACTTTTTGAAACATTTTTGAACTATTGTGCATAGTACTGCTCATATGCATAATGATTGGTCCATTTATTATGCCACTACTAGGGGGGAGGCAGTATATTTCCGTGATGGATTAGTTTATATCAAAACCATGAACAATGTTGTCATCTGTATTAGCTGCAATTTCCTGAAGGTTGATTGCTTCATACCATGCATTGCTGTAGTCAAGTCAGGAAGAGCTTTCTTCTGCCCACCATAACATAACAAAACAACACAACAGCCATACTGGGTCCAACCAAAGGCCCATCTAACCTAGTATTTTGTCTTCTACCAGTGATCAATGCTAGGTGCTCCACAGGGAATTAACAGAATAGGTAATCATCAAGTGATCCATCCCCCATTGTCCATTCTCAGCTTTTGACCAACAGAGGCTAGGGATACCATTCCTGCCCATCCTGCCTAACAGCCATTGATAGACCTCTCTTCCATGAATTTATATAGCTCTTTTTTGAACCCTGTTAAAGACCTGGCCTTCTCAACATCCTCCAGTAAGGAATTCTACAGATTGACTTTGCGCTGGCTGGCTTCCTTTTGTTTGTTCTACATGTTAATTTAGAACCTATTAATTTCTAAGATTGGTGGTTCTCCTCCCACTTGGAGTCTAATGGTTTGAGGGGGGCTATGCTCGCTGACAAAAGTGAGTCTATATGGTTATATAATTGGAGTGGAAATCCATCAACCTCTGATGCAACTGATGAAGTGGGTCTTTGCCCACGAAAGCTTATGCTCTAATAATCTGTTAGTCTGTAAGGTGCCACAAGACTTCTCGTTGTTCTTATAACTGGAATGTGTCACAGATAGAAGACTCACTTCATAATGCTCCTTATGTTGATTTTGTCTTCAAAAACTCTGACTTTTAATATTTCCCATTTTGAGGGACAAGTCTTTATGTAGTGCAGAGAGGTGGCATGTATAGAGCACCAGCCCAGGATCAGTATCTTTGAGGAAAGCCAAAGACCTAAAGTCATCCCAACAGACTCAACAAAGCACTGCCATCACATTTGCAGTGAAAGCAGCAGTTTGCTCTATTGAAAGCCATCTGGCCTCACTCCTTGTTCCCACTGAAGCCTCTAATGAAGGTGGCTGCTGTAGAACTTTCTATGTTTAGAATTCCAGGCTCAAAGAACTCCCTGTCAGCCCAAACATCTTATCCCTGATATTTTCAGACTAGCCTTAAGTAGCATAACAAATGATCTTCAGAGAGGAGGGCTACTGAAATAATCAGCAGAAAACAGGGCAAGCAGAAGTGTCAGCAAAATATAGGAGAGAGAGAGAGAGAGAGAGAGAGAGAGAGGAATAAAACACAAGGAAGAGGAAGGGAACAGATAGGATAGAAGGAATTAGAAGAAAATGGATTAAAAAATGGAGAGATAGCAGCAACTGTTTCAGGGCATAGCATGAAGGTTCCAAAACGAGAATATTGTGAACTACTGCTATCTATGTAGTGTCCTTTATACACTTTTAATAAGTGAATATTAGAGACACGATGGGTGAAGTAGTATCTTTTACTGGGCCAACTTTTGTTGGTGAAAGAGAAAAGCTTTCGAAGTATCCCATGTTCTTCAGGTCTGGGGAAAGTATTAAGAGTGTGTTTCCCAGCTAAATACAAAGTGGAAAAGATTGTTTAACCTAAATAGTTAATATATATTTCAAGAGACCATTCAAGTTGAAGTGGTCCGTTAACATCCCCGTAATCATAGCACAAAAAGAGGGGGATTAGTGGATTATAGATTGTTGTTATAAACCAACAATCCGGTGTTTTTATTAAAGCCACAATTTCTAGTGTTTAGCAATGTTATGAAGGTAAGCTCCTAAGCACATTTTTGGAAGGTTTTGTGCATGACAGACTAGTCATTTTCCATACATAATTCAATGTGATACATTGCTATTTCACTGACTGAGTCCTGGTTGTTAAGATATAAGCATCTTATTGCTACACTTGACCAAGAAATAATTGTTAAAAATATCTCCTTCCCTTCCCTCCACCAAATTCTCTTGAATGGCTTCCTAATTCAATTCCTGACCCCTTGTTGCAGGGCTTATCTTTAAAGTGTTACTAATAATCACTGATAACATGACTGATCCAGGATGCAGTCATTTGACACAGTATACATTTACATTAATTCTCTATTGTGCAGTAACTATTAGTCTCAATATTTTTAATGTTGGGCTGTGATACAGAAATCTAGAAATCATAATGAGAAAAGTTACTGGGCAGCTAGTAGCAATTAAATACTCTTGCATTATAATCATAGAATACTAGGACTGGAAGGAACCTTGAGAGGTCATTGAGTCCAGTCCCCTGCCCTCATGGCAGGACCAAATACTGTCTTAGATCATCCCTGATAGACATTTATCTAACCTACTCTTAAATATCTCCACAGATGGAGATTCCACAACCTCCCTGGGCAATTTATTCCAGTGTTTGACTACCCTGACAGTTAGAAACTTTTTCCTAATGTCTAACCAAAACCTCCCTTGCTGCAGTTTAAGCCCATTGCTGCTTGTTCTATCCCCATAGGCCAAGATGAACAAGTTTTCTCCCTCCTCCTTATGACACCCTTTCAGATATCTGAAAACTGCTATCATGTCCCCCCTCGATCTTCTCTTTTCTAAACTAAACAAACCCAATTCTTTCAGCCTTCCCTCATAGGTCATGTTCTCTAGACCTTTAATCATTCTTGTTGCTCTTCTCTGGACCTTCTCCAATTTCTCCACATCTTTCTTGAAATGCAGTGCTCAGAACTGAACACAATACTCCAACTGAGGCCTAACCAGTGCAGAGTAGAGCGGAAGAATGACTTCTCATGTCTTGCTCACAACACACCTGTTAATGCATCCCAGAATCATGTTTGCTTTCTTTGCAACAGCATCACATTGCTGACTCATATTCAGCTTGTGGTCCACTATAACCCCTAGATCCCTTTCTGCCGTACTCCTTCCTAGACAGTTGCTTCCCATTCTGTATGTGTGAAACTGATTGCTCCTTCCTAAGTGCTTTGCATTTGTCTTTATTAAACTTCATCCTGTTTACCTCAGACCATTTCTCCAATTTGTCCAGATCATTTTGAATTATGACCCTATCCTCCAGAGCAGTCGCAACCCCTCCCAGCTTGGTATCATTTGCAAACTTAATAAGCGTACTTTCTATGCCAATATCGAAATCGTTGATGAAGATATTGAACAGAGCTGGTCCCAAAATAGACCCCTGCGGCACCCCACTTGTTATACCTTCCCAGCAGGATTGAGAACCATTAATAACTACTTTGTTATATATAACAAAATACTTACTTGTGAGGATTGTCAGCAAAAAGAGGTACTCTGTATATGAGATCAGTCCTAAAAAAGAAAGCACCAACAATGAAATGGTGAATTTGAAAGTCAGCATATTGATCTGCTATATTTGCGGAAAGACTTTTACAATTGAACTTTCTATATGAAAAACATTCCAGTTCTGTTTCATATTAACATATATTAAATAATACAATTTATTAGAATTACTTCCTTTTGTCATTATTAAACAAAAATTCTGATTCTATTTCTTGAGCATCTCTTTCATGTGCAAGTCTAATTGAGCGAGTTAGGTTTATTTGGTATTAATAAAAGACTTGAACTAAATGTTTGGATTTTCACTAAAAAAAAATTCAGTGTTTATATGAAAGACAAATAAATTAAATGTGCTTTGTCACATTTAGTACCTGGGAGGAGAACTACTCTACTGTTATTCTGAAGGATCAAAGTATTTCATCCTTTGGCAGTCTTGAAAAGGCGGAGAGTAGCTTTCCTTTAATTCTCAAGGGGAATATGGCAACACGCAAAGCTGCCAAGCTGCTAGATTGCACTGATAGTACAGCTGGGCCCTATGCCAAAAGGAATTTTTTAAAGAGTAATATGTCCTTTATACAAGGTGAAAGTGTTTTCCCCCCTTTTGAAGGAAAATTCCAGAGTTTCCCTTTGAAACACCGATGTAAATGAAAAGCCTGAACAAAGATGTGACAGTATCAAAATATCAGCATACAAGTTGAGAGAGAGAATATATAAAACTCATGGTTAAACAACAGACTCCTAAGCATCTGCCCTATGATAATGTTTTAAGAAAAACATTTAAAGAGCTTTTTATGAACAGCTTTAAAAATACTTTTAACTTGTGAAGTAAACACTGTATAATGTAGAAGCTGTTTAAAAAGGCATGTTTAAACTACACTATTCAAAGATAAACATAATTTTTATTATTTATATTTAGCTAATTGATAGAAAAGGAATCCTCTTAAGCCTTAGTAATAAACAAATTTGATTCATTACTGAGTCAATAATGATTTGTTTTGAAATAATTTAATATTTTAAATTTGCTATTTTATACCAACTCCAGAATTTAGAAATATTCATTAACTGAAACAGCATTGTCTGGAGAAATGAGAATAGGGCAGGGACTTAGGAGAGCAAATTCCAATCCTAATCTGTGTCTGATGCACTTTGTGGATTTGGCCTAGTCATTTTTCCTTTTCTCTCAGTTTCCCCATCTGTAAAAGTGGGGATAAATTATACTTAACCATCTTCCTAGCATCTGTGTTGTGAGGATTAGTAAAGTTATATCAGATGGCGCTTTCATCATACAAAGCATTATGTAGCTACTGTACAATACTGAAATAGTTATTAAACATAAAAGGCATATTTATGTGTGCTTATTATTTGTACTGCAGTGGTGCCTAAAAGTCCTAGACATGGACCAGGACCCCACTGTGCTAGGCCAGGGATGGCAAATTTTTGGCCCGAGGGCCTGATCTGGATAGGGAAATTGCATGGTAGGCCATCAATGTAGGACTGGGACAAGGGTTAGGGTGTAGGAACGGGGTGTAGGTTGTAGGAGGGGGCCCAGAGAGGGGTTGGGACAGGGATTGGGGTACAGGAGGTGTTCACGATGCAGGCTCCAGCCTGGCGCTGCTTACCTCAGGCAGCACCTGTTTGGTGGGGCAGCAGGGCTCTCTTGCTGGCCTTGTCCTGTGCTACTCCTGGAAATGGCCAGCACATCTGTCAGCATCTCCTGGAGGTGGGGCAGGCATCTCCGTGCACTGCCCTTGCCTGCAAGCACTGCCACTGAAGATTCCATCGAGCATGGTTTCCCCCTTCAAGGCCAACGGGAACTGCAGTGAAGGTGCCTGCAAGTGAGGGCAGTATGCGGTGTTCTCTGCCTGCCCCTTCCTGTCCCCATCGGCTACTTGCAGGAATGGCACAGGTCTACAGCAGGCAGGGATTAAAAGTCCTGTGGGGCCAAATGTGGCCCATGGGCTGTAGTTTCCCCACTCTTGTGCTAGGCACTGTACTAAAATAGTGATGTAGTACTACATTTTATTGTGTGGGAGCTCTGCAGAAACTGACTGAAATTGACTGTGAGAGAGAGAACCTCCAAAATCTACCCTGTGTCATGTCGCCACCAAATAAAGCACCTAGAGTAAAAACCTAATTATGTACCAGCAAATTTTATCCAGTTGAAAATCTGTGATAAATACACATATCATATCAACATAAAAAATGGGTAATTCAGCTTTTATTGCCATTCTGTAAACTACATAGTAAAGTATGCCCAAAGTGCACATGTAGTTTATAAAAAAAATTATCTGGTGTTGCATGTGTAATACTGTTTTTATTAACATTGATATTCTCTTTAAATATCAATAGAGCATTTAAGATACCAAAAGAGTATTTTATACTAGTCAAACTTTTCTCAGACGTTGAGTTCAGAGTTTGCAGATTTGTAGATATGAGGTAATTTTCTCTATGACAAAAGATTCCCGACTTCTAGCCTATGCATAATGGGACATTTTTTATCTGCTTAATGTCAGAGAGCTAAGAGGAGAATTAGTTAATTTCAGCAGTTGCTCATAGACCTCTGTGGCATGCAAGTTTATCCTCAATTGGCTGAAAAAGACAAGGATTGGAGATACCATTGCAGGTTTGATTCTTATCACAAAGGTATGAATAAAGATATTGGCTGGATGGCCCACTACATTCCACATCCTAATGACATAAAAACAAACAAACCAAGACTTAAAAAATAGTCTTGCAGCATCTTAAGGGGGTGGGGGGGGAGGGGAAGAACAAGAGGGGGGAGAAGAGAAAGGAAAAAAAGGAAAGAAATAGTCAATTAGAGTCTACATATTTCTCTCCCTCCCCCCCTCCCCTATTTATTTCTAAACTGGACCTTTAATAACTCCATTCATCTGAAGAAGTATGTTGTGCCCAGGAAAGTTCATGATATCATCTACATGTTTTGTTAGTCTTTAAGGTGCTACTAGACAATTTGTTGTTTAAGTTTTTCCTGTTACAGACTAACGTGGCTAGCCCTCTGAAGCTAAATTAATGGTGTTATGCTGCTATAAAGGGAAATGATACAATGAGGAATCTAACCCCAAATCTTTATATATGAACCCACAATTTTACTCATGGAAAAACTTGCAATTTGAGCACAAACAGAAATTGCTTTGCTTTCACCAATATGAGGCTGGGCACCAAATGCAAACGCTGTCATAAATATATAGCCCAACCTTGAAAATGTGAGCTCTGCATCATGGAGACCAAACAAAAGGATCTAACGTACTATGGAATTTAAAAAAAAACCCCAACTATTAAAACAACCAAGTAAAAAGGTGAAAAGCTTCATGGCTAACCCTTATTTTATGTTAATCAATTTATATTATTCCTGCAAGGATAAGAGAATGGGGGAACACTCCAATTTGGTTTTGATTTATCATTATATTTTCATAATGTTTAGAGAAGCCTTTGCCACCTCAATCTATTCAATTTAATTACCCACTCTATTTATAAATGACCATGACATTTTCCTTTCTATTAAATATTATTTTGAAGAGGTTTAAGTTTATGAGCTACATTTCAAAGAATTGGAATTGTCAATCATAGAATTGTCGAGAGGTCATCTAGTCCAGTATCCTGCACTCCTGCCAGAACTAAGTAAATAAATTAATAGAGATTGCCTATCTCCTAGAACTGGAAGGGACCTTGAAAGGTCATTGAGTCCAGTCCCCTGCCTTCACAGCAGGACCAAGTACCATCCCTGACAAATTTTTGCCCCATCTCCCTAAATGGCCTCCACAAGGATTGAACTCACAACCCTGGGTTTAGCAGGCCAATGCTCAAACCACTGAGCTATCATTCTAGACTATCCCTGACAGATGTTTTCTCTAATCTGCTCTTAAAAATCTTTAATGATAGATATTCCACAATGCCCCAACGCAATTTATTCCAATGGTTAACCAATCTTCCTAATGTCCAACCTAAATTGTCCTTGTTGCAGTTTAAACGCATTGCACTTTTGTCTTATCAGAGGCTAAACAAAATGTCTTCTCCCTCCCTCAGTAACCTTTTATATACTTGAAAACTGTGTCGCCCCCCTCACTGTTCCCTTTTTCAGACTAAACAAATTCAATATTTTCAATTTCCCCTCATAAGTCATGTTTTCTAGACCTTTAATAATTTCTGTTGCTCTTCTCTGGATTTTTTCCAAACTCTTCATCTTTCCTGAAATGTGGTGCCAAGAACAGGACACAGTAATCCAGTTGAGACCTAATCAGCCTCGAGTAGAGTGGAAGGATTACTATTTGTGTCTTTCTTGCAACACTCCTGCTAATACATGACAGAATGATGTTTGCTTTTTTTGCACTGTTGACTCAAATGTAGATTACAGTCCACTATGACCCTCACATCCCTTGCTGCACTACTCCTTTCTAGGCAGTCGTTTTCCATATTATACGTGTGCAACCATTTTCTACTCCCCTCTGGGAATGGGTATCCAACCAGTTATGCACCCATCTTGTAACACCTCCATCTAGGTTGCTTTTCCCTATTTTGCTTATGAGAGAAAATCATGCAAGACAGTGCCAGAGGCAGATACTGAAAATTCTCTTCCTGCACCAATGGAAGTACCCATTTTTTCTCCTTCCATTGTGTTTCATTCCACAAAGATGCCATCTGTACAGGATCCTAATTCCAGGGTCCTTATGTCAAGACTCCCTTAGTTCATTGCCTTGCCCCCACACAGGCTGTGTGATATGTAGGCAACTGTGCAGAGTCAGCAGCTGCCTAGATGCAGCAGTTTTCTGGAAGAAACAGTGCCACAAACCAGTCTAGGCAGTATGAATTGCAGAATGTAGTGCTCTAACTGCCACACATAGTCCTTGCTGGCATGGACTAAAAAGTATTGAGTGTGTACTGATGCAGTTCTATATATCAATGCACACTACATGTATTTTAAATTGCAACAGCAGAATCTACATGGAGCAGCTAGAGAAGTGCAAGTTGAAGTACTGCGTAATTTGCACCCCTGTAGTCTGGTCTGCGGCATCACTTCTCCAAGAAACTAGCAACTGTCTAGTTTGCCGACAGTCACAGTGCCCGCTAGGGATGAGAATGGGGAAGCCCCAGTCTAGATGCTGCTGGTGGAAGTGGGTGAAGGAGGCTTGCATCTCAGACTGATGAAAGATGGGAGTTGAGAGATGATAGGCAGGATGGGGCTAAGCCATGAAGAGTGTTGAAAGTATTGCAATGGAGAAGGAGGAACCAATAAAGAGAGACAAAGAAAGGTCTGACATGGTCAAAGCATTGAATTAGAAAAGCTATTTTTGCAGCAGCATTTGGAATGGAAACAGACAGGGAAAACTTTCATTTGTCAAGGTCAGGGAAAAGGATTTTGTAGTAATCAAGATGCCTAACGAGTAGAACCTAGACTATAGTTTTAGTTGTATGGGTGGATAAAAGGGTGAGATCTTAGAGGTTAGGTAGAAAGAATTGGTAAAACTCAGATGCAGCCTGGATGATGCAAGAATCTATAGAGGGCTGAGACAAAGATGACACTCATGTTATGGGCTTACGTAACAGGGAGGAAGATGGTGGTGTTCACTAGTGTCTGAGAATGAAGAAGAGAGATTTACAAGGGAGAGATTATGATTATGAACAATCAGCATAGTAAAAAAACATGGAAAGTTTAAAATAGCAAAAATATTTCAGATTGTTTTTCCAAACCACCTTAGCACCTTTAAACAAAGCTGTGATATGTTTGCTATTCTTTCTATGACTGATTATACTGAAGTCAACATGTATGTGGCTGACTCAAAGCAGATTTTTACTATGGAATCATTTCCATGAGAATTCATGTCAGAATAATTTTACTTCACTTTTACTACATTTATTCAGGTTGGTCCTCCCTGGTCCAGCACCCTTGGGACCAGAGTAGTCGTGAACCAGGGGGCCTGCTGGACTGGGGAGGTCAAAGCTCCACTCCCTGCTGTTGACCACGACTGGCTCCACCGCCACCAGCCTCAGTCCCAGGTAGGGTTGTGCTCCCCACTGCTAGCTTGAGCTATGCTCCTGGCCACTAGCTCAGACCAGCGGCAGCAGGGCCATGCCCCTGATCCTGGTTGCCCCCTCCCTCACCCAGGCTCTCTGGTATAGCAATATCTGTGGTCCTGCCAGACAAGAGAGTACTGAATTTTAGAGTTTCAACCTAATTTGACCATTTTAGCTGATGCACAAACTGAACTGAGTTCTTCTTTATGAAGCATTCTATTCTGAAGAGATCATTGACATTTATTCATTTTCAAGTTTACATTTAACAGGTGCAGTAGATAAGGTTTTTAAAAACAAATTTGTAAATATTATTGGTATATAAGTGCACACTACCAAAGCAGATGGAAAGGACACAGCTCCTGTGGTGCTCTGCCACAGAGGAACGATTACTCGTGGTGTCAGGTAGGCCTCCTCTGCACAAGGTGCCAGGATACAGCAAGGACTTGTGGATGCCAAGGGCTAACTTCAGCTTAATGGAGTGCTGTTTGCTTCCCAACAAGAGACACCAGTCCTTTACATCAACTCTACCATCCAGATAAGGCCTGCACAGAAACTCTGGGCTGTTTCCTCAGAGTCACTTAGTTTGTGGGTGTTTGTTGAAGATGGATTGGTTAATTACTCCCTTATTTGATATTCTTGATTTCTTTGCCTATTCCCTTCCCTTTATTCCTAGAAAAGAAATTAAATTAAAATAAGTACTGTTTATCTTTATTTTCTGGTTCTGGATTCCCAGTAAAAAAAATCCTAAAGGTTGGAATATCTGTTACTATTGGCAAGTCTCCTGAACTGGGACTCTCTGGTCCGATAACATCCTGGACCACAGGGCCCAAGAACAGGGAGGTCTGGGTGGTGGGGCAGGAGCACAGTGGGGGGAGGGGGGGTCCAGCGATTCGGATGGGAGTCCCATGTCAGGGTGGGCACCTGGCATGGTGTTCTGGCCCCAGTGGCTGGGGAGCTCCAGTGTCAGCTGTAACCAGGGAGCTCTGGCTCCAGCCACGGAGCCATGTGGCTGCAGAGCTCCCTAGCTGTCATGCGGTCCAGACTGCCACGCCTGCTTGGCTCCACCTGGGACTGGAGCTCCACAGGTACCATGCTCCATGGCTGGCACTGGGGTCAGAGCTGGAGCTCCCTAGCTGTCACTGGGACTGGAGTTCCCTGCCTGCTGGGGCCAGAATGGCTGCAGCACTCTGGCCCTGGCAGAAACTAGAGAATCCCAGGGGGCTGGGGAAACAGTAGGGCTGGGCTCGAGCACTAGCCTGGAGGCAGGAGGGCAGCACAGGCCACTGGGGGGGACCTCCCCTGGTTTGGCAAATTCCTCAGGTCCCAAGGGTGCCGGACTACAAAGGTCCAATCTGTAGTTTATACTCCCAGCCCGTAAGTGGTGGCATTACGAGAAACCGAGGCTTACTGTTCCTAATGGGTAAGGGTGAGGGGAAGAAAAAAGGGTGTCACTGAGGCCCTGTCAGAAGAGGAAAGTAAAAGGGATTTGACTATCTTTGGGGATCAGGGATTCCCCAGAATAGGGTGGTACATTGTCAAGCACAATTTTATCTGATGTTTCCTTTTTTAAAATTTTTATAAATTTAGGTGCATCCAAATTACTGAACATCTATTCAACAATCTGTCGGGGGGAGGGAGAGGTGAGTGAAATAAACAAAAGCCTACTTTGGGCTACTTTTAGTAACTGGCAGTGAAGTTCTGCCTCCTCCAAAGGCTTCCTTACCCACAGCGCCAACTACATGTGTTTGCAGAATTCCCTGGTGTCCTAACAGTGCTTAAATGGGTCTTCAATTCCCAGTCCTGCTTCCTTGTCTTGAAAAGTTGAGAGCAATCTCAGAAAGCAGTTAACTTCTTGCTAGCTAGAAATCAAGTAGGGCTTGTGGAACCTTCTGGAAAATATATTCACACAAATAATCAGGTAAAAAAATATAAGGTATACTTTGATTACCAAAGTGTGTTACCTTTATCGCCGAGGTCTCTAAAAAAGGTTGCTCCTGGTTTAACCTTTGTAACATTTATTAATGCAGCATCTACATCCTTTAAATGCACAAATAAAAAAAAAGAACAGTTGTGAAGCAGAGATTTAGTAACAGAAGGAATGACAGTTCCTTTTGAGAACAGAACATTTTACTTACCTTTTCAGTCAATTTCTTGGCCAATGCTGTACCTGTAATAATAATTTAAAAAAATAATTCAGTAACAAATTCTGACTTGAAACTTTGATAAAGTTCTGTAGCCTTTCTTCAGATATTTATGAGAAAATTGTAAGTAATATGAAATACAAAAATATTCTATCAGGCAGATTTTTCTAATTACTGCAATCATCAGGCAAAGATACTGTTCAAAATAATATTAATAACTTGAGAAAATATTCTTGCAATTTAGATGAAACCACAAAACTGTTTCAGGTATGTATGACTAGCTCACCAATGTGCTTTTGCACACACTGTGCTACCCAAACTATTCATACACATATACAAGTACATGCACATAATATATGTTGAAATAGACTCAAGGGGGTCAAAAGTTAGGAAATTTCATTGCATGGAGTCATATTAACTCCCCACAAGGAGGGGCCCCCATTCCTGCATCTCGATCGGAGTAACTGGTAGCAGTATTAGACTCCTTTTCCCGTGTGAACCAGCCATTAAAGGGGATGTGACCCATATTTAGCCAGTGACAGTGATAGGCTTGACAGCTATGAAATAGAGATACAAACCAGTGTTCCCTGTAAATCATATTAATGGCATATTTTTAAGGCCATGTCTGCAATGGCTAGGGAAACTGTTGGTACCTCTCCTGCAAACCATGTAAAGCATGGCTGTTGCTAGACTGTAGCTAACCTTATTTCCTAACCAATGTAGACAGTGTTTTAGACCTGAAGGTGCCACTTGCATCCTTAAAATATTATGGGGACCTGTTAAAGCCAATACTCCTGACACTTGACCATATATACCAGGACCCAACCCTTAGTCTGAGGAACACAGGAAGGGAAAGAACTAGGACCTACTTGTCTGTTGAGTAGACAAACTTATGAATGCAGTTTCTGAAGTTTTAGACTAATTCACACAGTTTATTTTTATAAACACTCACATATCAAAGATTAACAAATGAATTTACAAAAATAAGTCTAACACCAGTTCTTTAAAATGTCATTTTCAATTTTTATTTTTATGCGGATGAAAGAATGGAAAATACTTCTCTTGTTACAGATCTTCCAAGTGTGTGACAGAATTTTGGCTAAGGAAATAAATTGATTTTTTAAATTCCCCACCTATTTAAGTGATTCTATCATTTGATTTTTGCTATTTACAGTAAATCTACAAAGCAACAATCAGGTACAAGCACATCTTGTTACAGGCAAAGGGACATTTTAGCTGTATGAGTGAAGTTGCATTAAAAACATCAAGCCTACATAAGAGTAAAAAAAAAAAAAAAATTTGCCTCCAGCCAAGAAAATGTAGTTAATTGACAACCATAACTAAGTAAACACCACCAAGAGCAGCTACTTCAGGTTTTAATTTGCCACAGGCAAGAACGGTCTTTTGTCACATACATTTTTGACAATAGAAATGTTGCCATCAGCTAACATCTCTTTACATTACATGCAGAATGAAGTTTACAGCAGTGCTAGGATTAGCATTAGAACAGTACTGAATTAACAAGTGCATGCTTGCATACTGTAACACCAATTATTGCCATAGGGTTAGAAAAGGCTTAAAACTGATAAAAGGGACTGTCAGAGCAAAAGAATATTATGAACAAAATCACTAAGATCTCCCATTTTTATAATAAAAATCAATCACTGAAGTATGGGGAAAACTTAGCTCACTCTCTGAACAAAGCAGAATTTTCCATGTCTTTATATTGATTTATTTTTTAAATAAGGACAATTCCATGCTAACTTAAAAAAATAAAACCCAACCATACTCTAAGTGTCATGTCTTCACTTTATCATACTTACCCAAGAGCTTTTTTTTTTTTTTCAGGAAATTAACCGTATACTATCACCTTGACTTAGCAAAGTTACCAAGATGATTTTAGTTGGATGCCATTTTGGCTATATTTCTTGCAAACACATCAACACCTAGGTTAGAAAATCTAAACCAAGATTTCTCTCCCAAAATCTGTTTTTGAATTGTTGCCACCACAGCTACTTTTGCTGGCATTTGGCAAATGGAATATCCCATCAGCATTCATCACGTTACAGATTATTTTCTAAATAATAAAGAGAACAGGATGAATTGAAGTTACAATAGTGTTAGAAGCTCTGATCCTGCAATTTATTTCACGTAGGTCTGGTCTCGGATGCAGTGTGTAAGAGTCCCGCTGCAGTGGGGCTCTGCACAGATGCAGTGGTCAGTCAATGTGGCTCAGATTCCAGGATTGAGGTCTAATTATTTTGCTAAAGTAAATCATTTTAAAGTTTAAAATTAGCCTAAAACATGAGAACATCACATTACTCTGACCTACTGGCTTTGGGCCTTCAGATGATACTAGTTTTGAAAATTCCATTCATGTTTTTCATTATTAATATTATTTTCATAATAAAATAACACAAATTTTACTTAGTGTTTATTCACAATACCAGTAGCAGTAGTTGTTCCCCATCTGCTTGCAAATTAGAAACATTAACACTTTCCACAAAGAGGCATGAAGATTTTTGTTAAAACTGGGGGGATATGGTTATATCTGTGTTTATACAAAGAATCATAAAACCAGAAGGAACCATGAGAGGTCATATAGTCTCATCTCTTGCACTCATGGCAGGTCCAAACACCATTTAGACCATCCCTAACAGGTGTTTTTCTAACCTGTCCTTAATCTCCAATGATGCAGAAACTGAAACTTCCTTAGGCAATTTATTCCAGTGCTTAATCATGTTGAAAGTTTGGAAGTTTTTCCTAATATCCAATCTAATCCTGCCTTATGGCAATTTAAGCCCATTGCTTCTTGCCCTATCCTCAGAGGTTAAGGAGAATAACTTTCTCCCTCCTCTTAACACACTTTTAGGTTCTTGAAAGCTTTTATGTCCCCTCTCAGTCTTCTCTTTTCCAGACTAAACAAACCCCATCTTCCCTCACAGGTCATATTTTCTAGACCGTTAGTCATTTTTGTTATTCTTCTCTGGACTTTTTCCTTATTTGTTCACATCTTTCCTGAAATGTGGCACCCAGAACTGGACACAATACTTCAGTTGAGGCTTAATTAGTTTCTTATAACACTCCTGCTAATACATCCCAGAATGTTTGCTTTTTTTTTTTTTTGAGAAAGTGTAACACTGTTGACTCATATTTACCTTGTGGTCCACTATGACCCCCAGATCCCTTTCCACAGCACTCCTTCCTCTGTATGTGGAGTACTTTGAATTAGTCCGTACTGAATTTCAGCCTATTTACTTCAGATCATTTCTCCAGTTTGTCCAGATAATTTTAAATTTTAATACTATCTTCTAAAGCACTTGCTATCCCTCCCAGCTTGACAGCACCTGCAAATTTGTAAATATACTCTCTATGCTGTTACCTAAATGACTGATATTAAATGACACTGGATCCACAACTGATCTCTGAGGGTCCCCTCTTATTATGCCCTTCCAGTATAACTGTGAACCATTGATAAGTACTCTCGCAAAATGATTAGCCAACCAGTTATGCACCCCGCCTTATAGTAGTTCTACCAATGTTGTATTTCTCTAGTTTATTAATGAGAAGGCCATGCAAGACTGTATCAAATGCCTCATTAAATTCTAAATATACTACACCTACCACTTTCCCTTATCCACAATGCTTGTTATCCTCTTAGCGAAAGCTATCAGGTTGGTTTGACATGATTGTTCTTGACAAATACATGCAGTTTGTCTTCTAGATGTTTGCAAATTGATTCCTTAATTATTTGTGCTATGTTCTTTGCAGGTATAGAAGTGAAGCTGGCTGATTAATCATATCCTGGGATGTCATTATTTCCCTTTTTGTAGATGGGCACTATATTCGCCCTTCTACTGTCTTCTGGAATCTCTCCAGTATTCCACAACTTTTCAAAGACAATAGCTAATGGCTCAGATAGCTCGTCAGTCAACTCTGAGTATTCTAGGATGGATTTTATCAGGCCTTAGTGATTTGAAGACACCTAACTTGTCTGAGTAATTTTTAACTTGTTCTTCCCCTATTTTAAGCTTCTGAACCTATCCCATTCTCCCTGGAGTCCAACAATCACCAACTTTCTTGGTGAAAACAAACAAATAAAAAACAAGCAAAAGAGTTTATGTGATTGTTTATACCACAATAGAGTCAAAGTTATGGTTTTAGTTTCTACTTTAATAAAAAATTCAGAGATCAACAATTTATTCTTTAACATTTATTTTTGAAAAACTCATCTGGGGAGAGTACTAAGCTAAAAACATTTTACAGAAAAATTAAGGACACTTAAGAGGTCAGTCTAAGACCTGATCAATTGTGGAAAAACACTGAAAAAACAATGTCTGATCAATAAACAATAGAGCCTGGTGAAAACAATGAGTTAAGAATCTAACTTTAGCTAGCAATCACTTATTGACACCATGAATTACCAAATGAAAAACTAATTAATATGAGCCCTCACCATGATCTGTATTCACAACTTTGAGTTAACAATAAATATAACCAATGAAATGGCAGATTTAATAAAAAAATATCAAAAGTTTTTTATATGATTTATAGAGCATGGTTTGTGTTTTTCAGAAATGTATATGAATATAATTGAATTCAATTCAATATTTCCACTGAGGAAATGAGTAGTTTATGCACATTCCTGGGCTGAGTCTAACTTTGGCAGATCTCCACTTTAGAGTAATTGTGTCACACCCTAAAAATACCAGAAGATTTCTCTCTGGGTAAGGGCACCTGGAATTGAAAGGGTGGGAAGCTATTGTAGGGAGATAACATCAAAGTATAACACAACCTATTAGGAAACTGAAACAGACTGAAATTTTAAGAAAAGCCCATTTTCATAAACTGCTAGAATTTTTTGAAAGAGATGGTAAATTACAAACAGTAATTAAGAATCCTGGAAATGATCAATTGCTTCATGGTCATTAATCAGTTTATCTAGGTATGTACTTAATTATTTGAGTACCTCCCAAATGAAAAAAAAAGTTACAAACACATTTTCTTCTCTCTATCTGGAAAGACT